GTCTTACTTCCATCGTAGTTAATCCTGTACACTTAAAATAAAACTTCGATCGAGATAATTAATCCTAAGCAATTAACCAAGTTGTCCGGCATGTCATTGGTCCTTCGACGCTTCGTCCGATTCTTCGGCGCATCGTCCTTTCCTGCGGCCTATTGCCCAATCGGCCAGTTGGCTCCGCAACTCCGATATCCTTGGCACAATACCCGCTCTTCTTGGCCCGATGCCTGAGTCCACGGCCCGAAGCCTTCTGTCGATACGTCGACCGATCCACCAGCCCGACGTCCAATCTTCTGACATGTTCCTCCAGCACAACATGATTTTCCTGCTTAAATTGTCTCATCCTGATCGAGGCATCCTGCGTCACTCAAAACGCAAGCTAAATCATAAACATATATCAAGTAGTTTCATCATCAAAATACGAGATTCAACACTTTCAGCACTGAAAGAACACCAAAAACACACCGAAATCCTGATCTTATTCTGTGATTTTTAGAGCTCAAAATTGTTGTAAAGGCCAAAAGTTCTTCTCCCTCTTTTCTTCCAAGTTCTGATCTTTAAAGAGAGGAGAGAAAATTCTATAAGGGTTGTCTCCTAAGCCCGTCAAAAGGAGTGAAACTGTAAAAGGGTGGTTGGCCTTCGCCTATTGAAGGAATGCCTCTAGTAGACGTCGGTGACCTCATCGGTGGAGGAAGCCAAAAGTTGATGTAGGTCAAGATTGACCGAACCACTCTAAATCTCGATTTGCATTTACTTTGAGCATCTTATCCTTACTGCAAACCTCCTCAATAGCTTACTGCCTTCTGCACATTTACGATCGTGTTTTAAAGTTCAGTATTTTCCGAATCGGCGTTTAGACGTAAATCAGTTTTATCGTACGAACATCATATTTCAGTTTGCGCTTACATTTTAGCTTTCATCATAACTGCAAACTGCCTTTATAGATTTCCTTTCACTACATCTCGCTTAATTACAACTTAAAGAGATTTACGAATCGGCTTTTCTACCGAAATCGCTTTTATCGTACGAACACCTTTTTAATCGTCGAAAGTTTTTCGCTGCACTAATTCACCCCCCCCCTCTTAGTGCTCTTGATCCTAACAATGTCCCCCTTATATTTCCCTACAAGGTTTTCCTAATTCATGCGCTTCGGGCATATCTTACCTTATGCCTTTGTCATGATAGATTTCTTCTCACACGGGTCAAGTTTTCCTGATTCATGCATCTCATATATATTTTACCTTGTGCCTCCTCCATTGTGATAGATTGCTCCTTATATGGGTCCAATTTTTTTAAATCATACATCTGGGACACATTTTACATTATGCCCATGATTTCTCCTCATACAAATTTAAATTAGTTTAATAAAAATTGACTCTATTATATTTGAAATTAAATTAAGTTATACTTAATCATAAAACCTCTCCAATTTTAAATTTTGAATATTTGATTCATAAATTTTTTTATCATTTATAAAAAAATACTTTAGATAAAAATAAATATGAGGGATGTCATTCAATAAAAAATCAATAGTTTGAAGGATCTCTTATCGGGGTTCATGTCTTTTCTAGGTTTCTTTATGCGGAAGAACTTGGAAAACACATACGAATCTAATGCTTTGGATACAAGTGGCGCGGTGCAACATCTGTGGCCTCACTGGCGACCACATTTCCTGCATCGCTAACTTTGTCTGAGATGAAACAAAAGCAACAATCGTGAAATGGCAATTGGACCATTTAGATGAAATGGAGATGCAAAAGCTTAGTGCATGCAACTATGTAGCATATCCAGCGCAAGGTGGTGCTTGGACCAACAATGTCACCGAAGGAACCCTCGAAAGTTATCCTCCTTTGAGAATGACCGTCAAACACCTCACTTTGAGTTCAAGAAAACATAAAAGAAGTTCTGTATGCTTACTGAAATGCATTAATTGGTCACAATTTTATTTATCTTTAACTAATAATAAAACAGAAATCCAGAAAAACAAACTTTGATTGACACTCCTTTCTTGTATTTATATAGGAAATTAAAATTTTCGTCATACCAATATATCATAATAATATACATCTTTGTTTGGAAAAGAAGAAAACTGAGATGACAATAAGATTAAAATCCAAAACAGTGTATATAAGATTTACATAAGAAACAGATTAATTTATTATTACACGAGAAAAAATTTAAAAGCTTCCGAATGTTAACTCAAACTTAGATAAAAACATCTTTTTATACCTTCTTACATAAGTATTAAAGATTTTTCCATATATTTCTCTCGTTCTCTCTATATATACCAAAGAGAAATTTTATGAACGCTCAAAATATTTTTCATATATTTTCTAAAGATATACTATGCATTTATAGAAGAATAAAAACCTTATTTTTATGAATATTTTCTTCATTTTTTATCCTTTAAATATCGTAGTTTCATAGATCTAAAGATACTTGTCATCCCCAATAATGTCAACTATATGACACTGATTATAATGATCTTTTTCTATTCATTTTCTTAATCAAACTTAGAATGGTCTCAAATATTAATTTAAAGATAAAATGGATATCATGGATCTTTCATTCGCTTCACTCCACTCAGATATTACAATGTAAAGGCAAAAGTCCAGATATATAAAAATTCTGTTCTATGTTGATCCATTCATGTGAAGATAGAAGAGTGGCTGAGAATTACGTAGCTCCAAAGGTGCAGGTGGGTTCTGAGGCAGCAACAACACTTTCCATGCACAGGGAAACACAGATCAGTGGCCATATTTGGTGAATGGAATGTGGCCTTTAGGACACCCAAATGGTCACTGCAGAAAACAATAACAAGTGCTGCAAAGCTGCTGCCTTTAGTGGCCTTCTTTCAATCATCATTGTGATGTTTCTTCCCATTGATTTGGGTGGCAGACCTACCCATGCTGAAAAGCTGTGGTTGCGATCCCTTGCCAAAGCACATACAAAACAATTAATTAGTTCAGACGATAAAGATTTTATGACAATATCTTAAATTTAAAGATTCATCATTGTTGTTTAATTTTTTCATTAAAGAAAACCTTATATGAGTGATGTATTTTCGTCATTGGCCATCTATGTTATCCTGAAGTCCTTCAGATAATAAAATAAAGCTTGGATCAGCTGACATTGAAGCTGAGTTCTTGTGTTCTTGTCCATAAAATTATGTAGTCATGTCAGTGAAATTCTTCAGCAAAAAGAAAAAAAAAGGAATTATGGTGTTATCTGGAGAACTTATATTATAATAATATATGTTTTCCCACTGAAACTTTTTAGTATATATATGTGCCACTTTAATTTTAATATTTGGAAATATATGTCAGTCGAGTAGGTTTTGCCTACACTATTAACACAATCGTACTTAATTTTTGGTTTGACATCTCTATATATTCCCAATTGAGTATATGGAGATATCTTCTAGCTTTTTTTTTTTTGGGTCCTTGCTTATGTAATTAGAATGTCAAATTTTCTAGTGTTTGATGTGTTAAATAGGTAAACTTGGTAGCCATTAAGCTGTTCTGTGGTTCTATAAATTAATTTATTTTAGTATTAACATTATTTTACAGAAATAAACTTGCATTGACCTTTTGTTTTTTTTTTTTCGGAGAAAGCAAAAGCACTAAATGGTAGACAAAGATTAAAAAATTTCAAATACAAATGTATTTCTCATATATATATATATATATATATATATATATATATATATATATATATATATATATATAAAGATACGTGAGATAGACGAAAATTGATATTAGGACTTTGCTATCAATTACACAAGCTAAACTTATTGTTATTTTCTAAATTTTATTCGATGAGATAAACAATTTATGAGATGACATTTCAGACCCTCAGCTTTAAATTTTAAATAAATCAATCATGATTTAATTTTTCTAAAAAAATAATATAAAAAATCTGAAATAAAAGTATTATTATAGATTTTAATAAAATGTTGATTGAAATTAATATCCAAGATTTCTAAAGCAACAGTAATAATAAAATAAATAAAAAAGGTCGGAAAGGCTTCGGCAGTACGTGCTGAATACGGTCCCACAAAGCGGGGCCCAGCGAATTTGACTCCATGTCAACGTACCAAAACCGCGCACTACCTTCGGCCCCACGACGGACCGCCGCGTGGGAACGCCACGTGTCTTCCCGGACTCGGCACGCTCTCCGGCCCCCGCCGCGCGTGCCCCGTCCGTGCTCGCCTATGCGTGAAAAAGGAGAGTTCTTTTTACATATTTATCCTTATATAGTTTGGAAATGCATTCTTACGCGCAACATTTTAATATTATACTAAAAAGAAAATATCAATACCATGATACATAATAATCGACACCAATAAAAGGCTTCCACATGGAGCAACTTTCATAAGCTGAAGCTCCTATCGCAAAGTCGATACAACTTAGCATAGGTAGTGCTCTCTCATTCGAGAAGCACGTGGGAGACCTTAATATAGAGTAAAAATTATGTGGACTCCGATCCTCCACTCGAGACGGACGGTCGAGATCTGATCTCACGGCCTATGATTTAGTACTATTTATGATGAGCTACGCATGCAAACTAACATTTAGAGGTACCAATGTGAAAATAAGTGATTTCGGAGGGATATTTATGCGATTAATAATCATGCTTCGTGTCATGGGTTTCTGAGGTCCACTTGGAAGACAATCGGGCCCATTCACTTGACACGGTCGCTTAACAAAGTTGATCAGGAGCTGACGAGGACGTAACCGCGAAACCTCTCACACAACAGGGGCGTTTTGGTAAGTGGACTCGCTGAGTACCGTGGTCTCAAAAGAACTCCCGCGACGGGGAGGGGTGGAAGTGAACGAAACTGAGGACTTGAAATGTCCATAGTGCCCCAACATGAGCCAAAGTGGAGCAGTCGGTGGGAAACACGTGCGATGCCTACGCTGCCCACTCGGTGGCCACTTCGCACGTGCCACTCTTTCCTTATCAACGATGGTAGTGCTCGACGCGAATGAGACGTTCTAAATCTCATACGAGAGAGAGAGAGAGAGAAGAGAGAGACAGAGAGAGTCGGCTGAACCGAGGTCGGTTGCCATGGCGACGCCGGTGGCGGGGGACGGGGTGCTCGCCCTGATGCCGCAGGAGGTGGTGAACTCGATCGATCCGTCGCTGTCGCCGTCGCCGTTCAATGGCTCGTCGGAGAAGTCCCCCATCCTGATCTTCGTCTACTTCCAGAAGGCCATCCGGACGGAGCTCAACCGCCTCCACCACGACGCTGTCGAGCTCGCCACCGCCGGCAGTGGCGACGTGCGTTTCCTCGCCGAGCGCTGCATCTTTCTCTTCGACATCTACCAGCACCATTGCAACGCCGAGGACGTGGTACGGAGTAATGTGTTATGCATACATATATATATATGTAGTTGCCCGTTCTTTCTATCTTGAAATTATCGTGGTTTGGGGGCTTGGTAAGTGGTCCGATATCGAGTCAATTAAAGGGTTTGGGGTGAAAGGTTTTGATCTGTGGCAGAAACCTCTGAATTGGGTGGTGGGTCCTGGCAGGAATGAAAACGATGTAGATAACTCGAATACGACAAATTAGTGCGTGTTGACTGTTGTTGTCTCTCAAAGTTTTGGCGAATAGGGGAAGAGTGACGTTTCTGATTTATTCGACTGATCTCTTGAGGCATACTAAAACGTAGTGCTGATAGGTCATTGATTGCATACTTGCAGAAATGCTTTTCCTGTTTGCATCATTCTTTTCCTGCTATGCTGAAAGAATTATTTCTCATAAGATTGAAGATTTGCCACTACAAGCTATTCTCTGTTGCTAATTGTGTATTTTATTCAGCAAGAGGGGTCCATTTCATGTTGTCATTATTGCGACTTCCTTCACGTAGAGAAAGACGAGTAGCTGAAGTTTAGTCACAAAATCTTGACGTAAGTTAGTTATGTGATTGCTTCCAGCAAACTAGATTTTTCTTTGGTATTGTGACAGGGATCCATGAATGCTGAGTCAAGTCTTGTCAGTCTAATACAATCACGTTGCTATGATATCAAATTGATGCAATTACCAAACTGAAGTAAGCACAAACGGTGTTGTTAAACAAAAAATGAAAGGCAAGGGAGATGACAGCTGTGGTAGTGTAGATGGGATGAGAGCTAGGAGGGAGTCTCACAAGAGGTAGGGGCCAGAAGATAAACATGGCCATGAAACTCAAACTAAGAAATTCTTGTAACTCAAGACATTATCCAAGGCCAAGGTTCTACATATTGCATGGACCAGTTCGTACCAAGCGAACCAAGGCACAGACTACCTCGTTCAAGTGGTTCACTGGCAGGACAAGCCTATCCCACCTTGTCCCTCTTTTTAATATGGAATGTACCAGTCCGCTCGTGAATTGAGATGTAGATTGCTCGGATCAGGGCAGTCCATTGGTAGGACCAGCCTATCCCACCTTGTCCCCCTTTAAATGTCTCTTGAGCTATATAACAGCTTCATAGAGACTCTTTTGAGCTTATGTCCTCCCTTAAAGCTCATGGCAACACACAACACATTCATGCATCTGGTTATCATGACAAGGGAAATGATTAGGCTCGTACTTGGTTGTTCTACTTGATGCAATTGACGAGCTACAAGTTCATTTCGGTGATGAGACATCTTCTCCCTCACACTTAGCTCTTGGTGGGATTCATGGAGAGAGTAGCAATATGGATAGTATTGCTCCAACTAATGATGGTGGCCAGGGCTCTTGCTACTCAGACACAGGTGGGTGATGCATGGACCAAAGAGGAGTCTTTTATTCATGCCATCTAAGATCATAAAATATGAGGATCTACACGACTTGTTTATGGTCATAATGGAATAGGAAATTCTGCCGATGATTCGTACAAGGATATGAGACCAAGCCTATATGATGCCGAGTCATATAACAAATCCTCATCCTCAGCATTCCGATTATCCTGGATCTTATGGCCAACTGATCCAGAATTATAGTTAGTCATTATTTTTGGTGTCGGATACATTCTACAACACACAAAAATAATATAATGATGAGAGCCACAATCCAGGTGCACTACATCTTACACAATCGTATTTGCCATGATCGTACTTGGTCGAGGAGCCTCCTACCATATGAGTGATTCACTGCTGTGACATTGATGCATCAATGGCATAGTATGTTACCAATATCAAATGTCATGGGTGAGGCATACAAATGTACTGCGTCGCAAATTTTCTTGTAGTTTTATGTACTTTTGATGAGAAATGAGTTTCCCATATTGGTTTCCATGTAAATTGAAGTTGTTTGGTTTACCTAAATAAGGAGGTATGATCAATGTCTTGTGTTTTGGTGGCACCTTCATGCTTCTCAGCACTAGTCCTTGTGCTGGGCACACTAAAAAGAAATAAAAAATGAAAGGATTGTATATCCATAAGAGTACATTTTATTCAAGAGAAAAGTAGGTGGATTTGTTAGGTCTTCCTATTACATAAAAGATAAAAATAAAAACAAATCATCCTAGACTCTTACCCTAATAATATTAAGAATTTCACCTCTTGTCAATATATGTGAGAAAATGCACGAGTGTATATTTTAATATTATGTACTAACAAATTAGCCCAATACAAGTGATTTTTAGGTTTGGTTTCTCATCGGAATGACACATGCTACTTAATATTAGCATAGTATGCACCGAAACATAAAATCTTGAAAATTATTTCTTGTACATTAGGGCTGCATTTGTTTTAGGGTTAAGGCAACTTAAGGCATTTGTAACCCCCCAAATTTCTAGAGTTGAGAAAAAATAAATCAACCTGATCAAAGGATTTAATATGGCCGATTAGAGATGAGATAACCTATCGAAAAATCAATTCTAGTGATTTCAAAAGGTGCTCGGGCGAGGTGAGGCCTGAGCGCCTCATAACAGGGTCGAGTGAGGCACTTGAAGAAGGCGTCGCTCGAGTGTGTGCCTGGGCCCAGGCGTTGCTCGAATCAAGTGAGCACCCGAAAAAGTCCAAATTAGGTTAATTTCATATAGGTGGCTCAACCGAACTGACTAGACACAACACTTACCCTCCTTCCCCTCTACGTGCTTGATCCATTGTAAGGACTAGAAACCCTATCGTGAGCCGCCTTCTTCCTATGCTGTCGGATGCTATGAGCCTCATCGTCCTATGCTGCTTAATCGCAAGTGTACATCGTCAGACCACAAGCCCCCTTTGCCCTACGCTGCTAGACCACGAGCCTCCTCCCCTTACGCCACCATCTGCAACTTTGTTTCTTCGTCGTGTGTACTTATATGATCGACCAAATTTGTTTTCTGTTGGTTGCCAATATCCTCTGCCCTAACCACCACCTTCCTCCATTGGTTACTACTCCATCTCCTCCTCTTTCTCAGTGTATAGGTAACAGAAGCTTTGTTAAATGATCTCTTTCCTGCACTATTAATGATCTACTTCCTATTTGTATTTCCTACACTTTGTTAAATTTCCAACATTAACTTGAGGGGGGTACCTTATTAGGAGTTAGAAGTTAGAACATAACAGAACATATACTGTTAGGTAGGAACATCGCAGATATCTGCTCTTATTTCCTGCAATGTAACTTTACTTTATATGATTGTGTCATTTTTAATTTTATGATCATATTTATTAATCATAATATATATATTTTTAAATTTTAATATATGGGAGTGTCTTGCTTCACTCAGGTGGGCGCCTAGCACCTCAGGCGTTTTGGCACCTAGCACTTTTGAAAACACTGATCAATTCTATATTGATCAATATGATATCATAATTATGTTGGTATGTGTCGGTTTTGATTGGTATCACCTGAACCGCTATAAGCATAGAGAGAGAGCAATATGTGTCAAGGAGGAGGTGGCAACATGGACAAAGGGTGGCAATGCGGATGAGAAGAAGAAGATGAGAAGGTGGTGGTGAAGCAAATGAAGTGGAGGGTGGAGAGTAGAAAGAGAGCAGGCGAAGAAGAAGAAAAAAGACAAGGAAAAGGTGGAGAAGAAGGTGGTAGTGGAGGAGGAGAAAAATAGGAAGAGAAGGTTAGAAGAAGAGAAGGCAAAGGAGGAGAGAGGCAAGTAGAAAAGAGAACAACTAGTGACGACTAATCTTTAAATATTTGACCAATATCATTGTATCTAAAAGCAAGGTTCGCCGTACTGTACCGTACCGGCGTTTCGACCCGGGCTCGGTACCGGTACGACACGGTATACCGCTCGGTACACTCAGGTGTACCGAGCACTGTAGCACTGCTACAGTGCTACAGTGCACTGCTACAGTCTCGGTACGGGCGGACCGGTACAAGGTGGTCCGCGTACCGCTAGCCTGTCGGACCGGTACGTACCGCCCGTACCGGGCGGTACAGTCCGGTACGGCAAACCTTGTCTAAAAGCATAAGTCGGCAAATTGACCAAAGCCTAACAAGTGAAACATGTTACTTAGGGATTATATATATTTTAATGTGTGACCTAGAGAAGATTTGAAGACAAAATCTTTTGTTCTAATACCGTTTAAAATTTTTGAGCAATGCCATATTTTTATTTCCTTAACACCATCGAACATTTATATTTTTATTTCCTTAAGCTAATAAATAAAACATAATCTAAAAGTTTAAGCTTATAAGTAAAACATAATCTATATTTTTGTTTCGTTAACACCATTGAACATTTGTAAATAGAAAAAAAATGGGGACTCAATAGCAATATTGGGTGGTAGGTTTGTTGCATAATACAATTTTGATACTTACTGTGCGGAAAGTTTGATTTCGAGTTGGACTTGGAAAGGTTGTCCATCACACAAGCCGATCAATGGCCGGACCAATAAATATCAATCTGCACTGACTGATATAGTTAAAACAAAAAATGAAATTAGTTTTATTAAGATATCTTAACCAACTAATTTTGATCTCAAACGAAACACAACTTATCAAATGCATATATACATTATGGAGACATTATTTTATTTGCTTGTTAGTGTTTTGATATTTACAGAGAGAGAAGGTGACAAGAAAACAAGAAGATCTTACCATTTTTGGGACATTTTCTTTTTATATTCTTGGAAATGGTTTGTAAAATTAGCATGGATTTGATATCACCATATATGCCATCTAAATTGAGTTATCTAGAAAAATGAGTGTATGAATGGTTATTTGATATCATCATTCTAGTAGTCGATTTTGTTATATCTAATTTCTTTTATTAGGATGGTGGTGTCCAATGTTTATAATGGTCAAGAGGAATAAAAGAAGAAGAAGAAAGTAAGAAGAAAAGGAGAGGATTATAAGAGAAAGGGGGAGAGTAGGGGAAAAATAAAAAATCCATCAAATGCTTTCTACAGTGCCATTGCTCGTCAAAAGTTGTTGTTGCTCATACTAATGTAGCACTTGTCACGCACTTCTTGAGACTAATTTGGATACATCAAAACAAACAAGGGTCTATATGTAGGGCAGAATTTCTTTTTTCCCCTAGGGTTAGAAAGAGAGGAAGAGAATGATAATAATGATAAGATAATAGTAAAAAAGAAAACTATTAGATTCGCTTCATCTTATAGAAAAAACTCCCAAGATGAATGCCTCACACCTCTGCATGTCTTGCACGTAAAAGTTGAAATCATTCTATCAAAAAAATAATTGTAGTCTTGCGCTACTCACATATAACATTAAAAAACAAGCTCAATTCATTAATTTATTCTCTGATGATGTATACAAGAAAAAAAAAAATGGATCAAATAAAATATATTCTTGATTTAGTATTCCAGACGTAATAAAAAAAAATATTTCTGGCTTAATTTGAAAAATAATCTTCTCTTTTGATGATATTCTTAATTGATAAGCTTCCTTTGATGAATAATTAAGGAATTCAATCAAGATTTGTAATCTTCTATCAGAATCAAATCTGATTTCTTTCTTTTTTATATTTATTTCCTTTTTCTCCTCCTTGAGTAGATGTTGCCATTTGTCCACTTATGACATATTCAAAATACCTCTAAACTAATTAAATTTATTTAATAAGAGAGTAACTAAATTGGTTCCACATCAATATGCATCATGTGCATATGCTAATGCTAATATATGGTACCATTATAGGGCACGATATACTATTTACATATAGAATCCAGATGTCAAACATGGATGATGTGTACCTTGACCTTTTTAAATTATTATGTGTGATGTATTTGAGGTATTTTCTGATTGGATTTTAGATTTTTATGCTTCTTGTAACATATATATAAAAAGAATGCATATCGTATGAAATACATCTTCATATTTAAGATTATCATTGTATAAAGTATATAAAATATAAACTATATTGTACTATAAACCAAGGTATTCAATTTCGAATAATACCGTCCGGTACGTACCGGTCTGTCAACTGATCGGTACACGGACCGCCCGTTACCAGACGGAACAAAAAAAAAAAAGTATATATATATATATTAATATATATATATTAATATATATAAATATTTATATATAAATATTTTTATAAAAGGTGACGTCACGTCACCTTTTTTAGCGACGTCGCCTTTTATAAGAATATTTATAAATAAATAAATAAATAAATAAATAAATAAATAAATAAATATATATATATAAACGAGGCTACGTCGCCCCACCTAAGAGAAGAGAGAGGTGACGTCGCCGAATTATATATATATACATATATATACATATATATATATATATATATACCGAGTGGTATACCGAACGGTATACCGCTCGGTATTCAATATCGTACCGTTTCGAACGAACGTCGAAACTCCGGTATGGTACGATATTGCATACCTTGCTATAAACTATATACTTACTAGTTGTTTGTCCCTATGTTACCTCATGTCATTCTTGAAGATAAGCCATGTACCATGTCCGTGTTTGTGCTTGCTAAATGTGATGAAGGATTTGAATATTAGTATGATATTGGTCTCCATAACCTGTTGACCGATACTCTACAAATAGACCAACCTGTACCATCAAGTATCATTGAATGAAATAATTAAAAAACATAAAACAATGAAAAATAGATCGATACACACTAGTGTCGAGCTATATGTTTCGACACCAGTACTTGGTTGACAAGTATATACCAATCATGTACTGATATGACTAGTATTTGAAACCTTGGATGCAACCTTCTTTCTCATGTTTGTTACTGCCATACCTGTAATAACTAGCCTATTGCTAAGACTCCTAGGCTGATTGTTTTATCTCTATGGTAGTTGAAAGTTGAAACATATTTTCAAGATCATGGCAATAGTGAGGGCCTAGATGATTTTACGTTGCTTTGATGCTACAGATGCCTAAGAGACCTTACATGTCATTCTTTACATGATTCTTCTCTTAAGAGAAAAGGCAAAAATGCATTGTGCATTGCATCTCGTAAAGCTCCTGTTTCAAGAAGTTGAAATTCATGTTAAGTGACTATTCTTAAGTCCATTTTGGAAAATTTTGGAGTTTCTTTTTAACCTTTTGCAAGATTGTTGGTTGCTATTATTTGGATATAGAAGGAATTATTCTTATTTGTTTAATCTTTATTTATAACCTAACTTGAGATATCTAAAGCCTGGATTAACATACCTATCCATTTGGTATGTATAGACCTTGGCTTACCAATTCAATCAAGGACTATGATCTGGTAATGGTCAATAGTATTATTTTTATCATTTTTTAATTGATACAATACGATATGGGTAGGTATTTATTGCTTGGAGTTGGTGTGCTAGTGCCACACTGGTTTGGTAGATTACTGAAACTGATATCTGATCGAGATTTAATCCTTGATATGAATTGGGTGTCAATTGGAATATTTGTTGGATTCCAAAATCTCCTTCTTAGAAATTACTTGTATTTTACTTAATAAATACATGATAAATATCTATTCTCAATAATGGTAATTTTGAAGAAGGCTGATATGATGTAACATGTTTTTATCTATATTTTAGGTCATCTTTCCAGCTCTCGATGTACGTGTCAAGAATGTGGCTAGAACATATTCTCTCGAGCATAAAGGGGAGAGCCATCTCTTCTATTATGTGTTTATCCTGTTGGTATCACATGTGACAAATGAGGAATCTCTTCGGAGAGAACTTGCTGTTCGTATTGCAGCAATAACATCATTTAGCCATCATATGCCTAAGGAAGAAAAGCAAGCATTTGTTTCAGAGGATCATTTCCTAAGAGAACTGGCTTCCCACATTGGAGTCATAAAAACATCACTTAGCCAGCATATGTCTAAGGAAGAAGAGCAGGTCTGTGTTACTGAGATTTTCTTCTTTAGATTTTTTTTATAACAAAGCAAATTGTTTTATCAATTTTTCTTGAACATGGTCAACACTAGCAATTTATTGAACTTCTACAAATTTACTTACAGTTTAACAAGAATTTAACAGACAAAGTTCTTGACTTGGTTATAATTATTAACACCTCAGACACATAGATGTTTAAATTTATGAAGTTTAGCATTAGGAAGCTTTTTCTTGTATTCGGTAGTGTTATAAAGTAAGTAATTGAGAGATATTTGTCTTCGGTTCCATGATTTTTTATTTCAGTTGAACCATTATGGTAATAGTCACAGGATACATCCAGCAACAATGAGATCATCATGTTTTCATAGCATTATTGCTAGAATATGTTCTTCCATGGAAAAATTTCTTTTTTCCTTTCTGAAAATCATCAAAAAATAAAATATAACAAGCTCTTTAATGTACCTATTATGACTATTGGTCACATCATGAAACTCGTACAACTGGACCAAAAAATATTCTATAAACATGGCAGATCACAAAAACCTAATAGATGTTCTAATGGAAGGACAGAATTGTAGTATTGTAACTTGTAAGAAAGATGACTGGTTTTATGTTTTCGCCCTGAGCCACTTGATCTTCCAACTGCAGTGAAAGCCATTCTGAGAAATTTGGTCAGATGATGGTCATTTGTGGAAGGTGTTTATGAATGTAAATTTAAAATAATGAGGCCATTGGCTTTCTCCTTTCAATTTCTTTGCTATAAATTTACTGTTCAAATATTGTTGACTGTGACCAACATGAACCAATTTCATGGTCTTGACATGCAGTACATTGATGCACTCTATAGGTGGCTTCATTTTACAGTTTTTGTGCAATTTGAAGCCAAAATCGCCAGTCAGCATATTTTTACATGATTTGGAACCAACATCAAATACAAATGGTTCGATGATATACCTGAAATAGCTTCTTTCCCTAGGTTAAAGAGAACTGAGATTTTTGGCAATTGTGTGGTCTCATATTATCAATTTTTCTTTGATATAGAATTATCCTCCTTTTCATGCATACCAAGTTTGTTCTTGGGGATTGAACCGCACATAGAATAAGCATTTTCGAGTTTGTTATTGCATAGTGCAAGTGTTTAGTGCCTTTAAATGTGAATATCTATTTAAAATAATGCAAGACATCAATATTAAATCCACAGTTGTGTGATCTAGAAGTATATATTCAACTTAGTGGTCTGTGGTAAAATACAGTTGATTAGAAGCAAAAATTTGACAGCTAAGATTATTGAAGTACTTGGGGAGTTGTGGAAACATGGAGATTGATGATGCTTTAATATAATATATTATCTATAAACTAAGGTGACACGTCGTGTTGTCACGGACTTAGCTGGAATTGCCTAAGCCGTGAGGCACCCTTGCAGCCAAGTCGCGAACTTAGCTTGAGTTGCCTAAGTTGCGAAGCACCCTTGCGCCAACTTCTCGGACTTAGTTAGGATTGCCTAAGTTGTGACGCGCCCTTGCGTTATGCGTCCGCAAAGAGTCAGCTAGTTTGCAACCTCACTCAGGTCCCGAAGGACTTGTAAAAGAGAAAGTTGATTAGTTCGAAGAACGAGCGACAGACAAGTCCCGACGTCTCGCGGAAAGGGGAAGCTTTACAAGCAATTCAGCAAGCACCTTGAGTGCAAGAGATAAAAGAGAGGAAGGAGAAAACAAGGACTTTAGAAGGTAGAACGAACAGTTACAAGTCCACAAACAACTACTCATCGGGTGCTGGGCGCGAAGGCAAGTTCCCGTCAAGTTAACGTTCGAACTTGTGAAGATTTTTTAACGCCCGTTAATACACCGAAGCCCCATCCAGTCCTGTGCCACCCAGGGGGTTCCAGGGTGCTGAGATGACTGACGTTTTGGGTGCTGCAGCGGTCTGCAAAAAATAGCCCGTGGCACACGAAAACGGAGCCATTTTGCGGCTTTTTGGCCTGGCGCGGTGACCTGTTCGAACATGTAATTTTACGAGCAAAAGCACACAAAACCAAGGCAAAACAGGGTGCCATGTCTCTGTGCAAGCATGCAAAAGCGACGAATGGTTCGTTGAACGAAGTTACATGATATGATATGCCCAAGATATTCCACCTTCTGTTGAAGAAAGCAAAAATTCGTAGTGATTGTTGTGTGTTCAAAAGGTGATTTTCGGTATGTCTTCTACGCACACTCATATTTGATGATACCCGGATCAAAGGTCCAACTTTGTGAAGATTTGTGCTCCCTTTCATCTAGCAATTCATCTGCTATTGGAATAAGATATTTGTCCTTGATGGTTATGCCATTGAGAGCTCGGTAATCAACGCATATTCGCCATGTTCCGTCCTTCTTGCGTACAAGTAGCA